CCCCTCTGACAAAGATCATAGATTAAAGGTGACAAGAAAACCTAATGCAGTGAGTGGAACTTGATTGGATTCTACATTAAAAACAACAACAAAAAGCTATAAAGAGAAATTTGGGGATAGTTTAGAGTTTTATGTGGTTGAATTTTACTCAATTATCATTCATGAATGTCTTGGTGTAGTGATGGCATTATGGATAATACCCTGAGGAGAGACAGACTTATATGCAAGGGTAAAATCGCCTGATGTCTATGTGACAAGTGATTCAGCAAACCCAGTATGGCACTGTGGGTTAATGTATTGGACTGCAAAGTCAGTTTGAGCCCACAAGGTCGGTGGCTCAAGCTCACCAGCCACTCCTTGGAAACCCTATACAGGGTCACTATGAGTCAGAACCGCCTTGATGGCACCTAACAACAATATATGAGGGTCAGTCAAAAAGTATTGCTACAAAACCATGGCACCCTTTATTTAACAAAAATATCAAAATGTGAACATAGGCTGTCCTTCAGAAGCATATGAATCTAACCCTTCCCCAAAGAATTCTGCACTCTTCAATGTACACCATGTGAAAATTGGCATTTCTGACAAATCATTGAGGGATGCAAATCATGTTCTTTTTCTGTATTTTTTAAGTTTGAGAACAAAAAGAAGTCTGGTAGGGTAAAACCAGGACTGTAGGGTGGATGGGGTAAGGTTTCCCAAGGAAATTCTCATCGGCAGCCCTGGTTCCTCATGAAGAATGAACAGGTGCGTTGTCAAAAACTTCCTTGGTGCAACTTTCCAGGCCTTTTTTCTCATCATTGCAGTTTTCAGGTCTCTTAAAACTTCTTCCGAAATGGCAGTGTTTCGTTCTGTTGTGTATAGGGTCTCTAAGAGTAGGTAACGACTCGATACCACCTAACAACACATACCCAGGATCGTCCTCTATCTCTGAGAAAACCTCTCAGGATCACCCCTCTGGAATTCTAAGAGTCATTAAAACTCTCTGCCTTGAATTTAACTGCCCAGTAGATTCCCTCAGAAGTTACTGTTTTAACTGGAACTTTTTTTTTTTTAATAAGGCAGCCACCAGTTGCTCCTTGGAAAACCTACCCAGGGCCACTATGAGTTAGAACTGACTCGACGGCACATAACAACAACAGCAATGACACTAACACAAATGTACTACTGATGGGCAGCCCAAGTCGATTCTGACTCATAATGACCCCACGCAGGGTTTTCCAGTCTGTAAATCATTACAGGAGCAGAACGCCTCATCTTTCTCCCACAGAGTGGCTGGTGGGTTTGAACTGTTGGCTTTTCAGTTAGCTGTCCAGTGCTTATCCTACAGCGCAGGTTTAAACCCATTATGTACTTGTGCCTGTAGGAACCAGAACTCCAGTAGCGATACTGTTAGACTCACCTGGTGTAGACACAGAGAACTAACCCAGTGTGGCAAAATAAATCTAGGTGAAAAGTACACAGAGGCTCGTTTTAGTCTTCTTGCACCATTTTTTTTTTTTTTTAGTGTTTTATTGTGAATTATGTGATAGAACACATAGAAATCAAATTGACCACATCTGTGGAAGGAGAAGATGGAAAAGCTCCATATCATCAGTGAAGACAAGGCTAGGGGCAGACTGTGGAACAGACCATCAATTACTGATATGCAAATTCAAATTAAAGCTGAAGAAAATGAAAA